CCTTCTATGGGGCACTCCCCTTACAGCCTTCACCTAGAACTTTCGCCACAGTCCTTCACTTCATCATCGACGCACTCCCTTGCCCCCTTCACCAGCTACACCGCGCCTTTTCCCCATCGACCGAAACACCCATCATTTTCCCCATCGGCTGAAACACCCTTTGTGTGAAAAGAGTGATTTCCAATCTATCAGACTTCATCCGCGCGTGAAGGGGGCCCAAGCAAAAGGTGTTGCCCAACGGTAGCCCCTCGGCGGGGATTCTTGCGAAGTCAAGAGAGCCAGCGACAATCTTCCGTGTTTTTGCACCTTCGCTTTGGGGCGCTCTTCATTACTAAGGCCAACCCCTAGAGATTGCAAAATTACAATCTTATTTGCTGCTTGTTTTTACTATTATTTGTATATATTGTTATTTATATTATTATATATTATTATTTATTTTATTAAATATATATAGTAATGGCACTTGGTTTCTACATTGGGTCAAGCTTTTTTTTTGCTTATCTCTTCGTTGCTTGTGCTTTGCCTTTAAGATTACACGTGGCCCACCCCTTTTTCTTGGGGTCGGGTGCTTTTCGGTCTCCCTGCTTATACATAGCCGGGGTTGGTGATCATAGTGACATAGTCTATTCCCATTTGTCATTTGCACTTGCTCTTTTGCCTTGCTTGTGTCTTGGCTTACTCGCTAGTGAGGTGGATGTTGCCCGTGGTTTTGTGGTCTTGCTCAATAAGGGCCTAGTTGAGAATCTATTTCAAAACAGAGATGTGTGTTGTAGCTGTTAATCCAATGGTACTAACTATTGTGACGAGGCACGCTCTATGCACTAATCTGTGATGGAATGGAAAAATAATGAAGTAAGTTAAGTTTAAGTAATAAGATGAGATCAAGGGAGAGATTGTTAGTGTTGAAGGCATATGTCCCAACGGCCGAGCAAGGCCTTTGACCTCGCTCGATCGGGGCGCCCAACCCACATGGTTGATGGGTCCCTTTTCCATTCTCAAAAGTCGCTATATAAAGAGGTGGGGGGCGGCGGCTTAGATGACGAGGTTCTTTGAGCCAGAAGCATCTCACCAACAGTCCTAACCCTAGATCCGATCTCTAGAGGCGCAACAACGGTGAGAAGCGCCACCACTGTCTCTTCACCGCCTCTGTGCCACACCCATGGACTCCACCGCCGCCGACACTCCGCTGCCACTCCTTCACCGACTTCACCATCGACGCCATGGACAGCTCCTCCTCCGCCAAGCCCATCGATGGTCGGTAACACCTCCCCTCTCTCATCCTCTCTCTACTCTCTCTCTCTAGTTCGTCTTGTTCATCATGTTAAAGCTAAAGTCACCCGCTAGATCTACTCCTAGATGATCCTAGGAACAAACATATACATGACCTGAAACAAACACTACCACTAAGGGAGAAGATAAGGAATCATATAGAATTAAATAAAATGCACACATACCAGAAGCATCTTCAGGAAGGCATATGTCCCAATGTGTGCAAGGTCTTTCTTCGTTCGAGCATTCCCTTCGATTTCATCCATAAAACGAGAAACACTTTCTACATTCTCAAAAGTCTTAACTAGAACACATGGATGCACAAATGGATATAAGGGCTTTGAGAAAGACACGTCTCCATCTGCGGAAGTTGTAGATAAAACGACTCAAATGAGCAGCTTCCCTACAAAGGTCAACTTGAGACATCATGCCTCGAACACATCCGCAACTGGTACATAATTTGATGTAAAGCTCATGAGACAATGGTGATCTTTGCCGTGAAGCATTGGGAAGAACTTTGTTCTGTGAGATATGGCATGCGGGGAGATGCAGATGTCACGCCACCATGGAGAATTGGAGATTCGTAGTCTGAAACATCCACGTGGATTAGAGAAGTTCCCTGAGCTGAAGTGGGGTGTAAAATGCATGGCCTAGCAGTAGAAAACTAGGATGTTGATGTATACTATATCTATATACAGTTCTTGATGCTTACCATTGTCTATATCTATGAACATTTTTTGTGTTCTGAAAGTTCGCATCCGTACCATGCCTGAGTAACTGATGAGCACCCAAAATGCTCATCACGTTGGGGCAATGGACTAACCGAATACAGTAAACAAAAACGTAAATAAAGACAAAAAATACAGTAAACAAACCAAAATGCTCATCACCCTGGGTCAATGGACTAGACGAATACACAAAAACATAAATAAAAGCAACAATAGGGATTCCGACGACAATTGAACTCGCGACCTTTTTTTTGTTTATCTCTTCGTTGCTTGTGCTTTGCCTTTAAGATTACACGTGGCCCACCCCTTTTTCCTGGGGTCGGTTGCTTTTCGGTCTCCCTGCTTATACATAGCCGGGGTTGGTGATCATAGTGCCTTTTGCCTTGCTTGTGTCTTGGCTTACTCGCACTGGTGAGGTCGATGTTGCCCGCGGTTTTGTGGTCTTGCTCAATAAGGGCCTAGTTGAGAATCTTTTTCAAAACAGAGAGGTGTGTTGTAGCTGTTAATCCAATGGTACTAACTATTGTGACGAGGCACGCTCTATGTACTGATCTGTGATGGAATGGAAAAATAATGAAGTAAGTTAAGTTTAAGTAATAAGATGAGATCAAGGGAGAGATTGTTAGTGTTAATCTCCTCTAGCTCGGCCCAACGGCCGAGTTGGCCCTTGACCTCACGCCCTGATCAGGGGCACCCAACCCTACATGGTTGGTGGGTCCCCGTCGCACTACGCTATATAAATAGGTGGGGGCCGACGGCTTAGATGACGAGGTTCACCGCAGCCACAGTGCCCCACCAACAGTCCTAACCCTAGATCCGATCTCTAGAGGCGCAACAGCGGTGGGAAGCGCCACCACGGTCTCTTCACCGCCTCTGCGCCACGCCCGTGGACTCCACTGCCGCCGAGACTCCGCTGCCACTCCTTCACCGACTTCACCATCGACGCCATGGATAGCTCCTCCTCCGCCAAGCCCACCGATGGTCGGTAACACCTCCCCTCTCTCATCCTCTCTCTACTCTCTCTCTCTCTCTAGTTCATCTTGTTCATCATGTTAAAGCTAAAGTCACCCGCTAGATCTACTCCTAGATGATCCTAGGAACAAACATATACATGACCTGAAACAAACACTACCACTAAGGGAAAAGAGAAGGAATCATATAGAATTAAATAAAATGCACACATACCAGAAGCATCTTCAGGAAGGCATATGTCCCAATGTGTGCAAGTCTTTCTTCATTCGAGCATTCCCTTCGATTTCATCCATAAAACGAGAAACACTTTCTCCATTCTCAAAAGTCTCAACTAGAACAGATGGATGCACAAATGGATATAAGGGCTTTGAGAAAGACACATGTCTCCATCTGCGGAAGTTGTAGATAAAACGACTCAAATGAGCAGCTTCCCTACAAAGGTCAACTTGAGACATCATGCCTCGAACAAATCCGCAACTGGTACATAATTTGATGTAGAGCTCATGAGACAATGGTGATCTTTGCTGTGAAGCATTGGGAAGAACTTTGTTCTGTGAGATATGACATGCGGGGAGATGCAGATGTCACGTCACCATGGAGAATTTGAAACATCCATGTGGATTAGAGAAGTTCCCTGAACTGAAGTGGGGTGTAAAATACTAAAATGAATGGCCTGGCAGTAGGAAACTAGGATGTTGATGTATACTATATCTATATACAGTTCTTGATGCTTACCATTGTCTATATCTATGAACATTTTTTGTGTTCTGAAAGTTCGCATCCATACCATGCCTGACTAACTGATGAGCACCCAAAATGCTCATCACGCTGGAGCAATGGACTAACCAAATACAGTAAACAAAAACGTAAATAAAGACAAAAAAATACAGTAAACAAACCAAAATGCTCGTCACCCTAGGTCAATGGACTAGACGAATACACAAAAACGTAAATAAAAGCAACAATAGGGATTCCGGCGACGATCGAACTCGCGAACTTTCGTTTACGAAGCGAACGCACAACCACCACTATGATACGGAAGCACTTTTTGCTACATGAAAATATATTGAAATTACAAGGGATATCTCTGGCAGACAACTATACATTCATAATGTTGTCAAAAAAAACTATACATTCATACAACAGTTTTTTTGTGACACAAACTTTGACGTTATTAGATTCTTCGAACATATATACACCTATGATTTTAAAATATCACACTAAGAAATCATTGGTCAAAGCCTTGTCAAGATACGCCTGCCTGCTAACGCTGGGTGCAGCAGCTGGAGAAAAGCCACGTGATGCCACGCCATTCGCATTTGCCTTTTCTCCAAATATGACGAGTTCATGCCAATAATTTCTCAAAGGCTCCAAGATATGCATCGTGCCGGTCCTATGATCGTGGTCGCCACCGTTCACGAGCTAACGGCCTCCTGCATAAGGGCATGCATGCATGATCCATTACACTCTGCAGCACCCGTAGACTAGTACTAGTAGGGATATTATTCAGCACAAACGTGCTTAATTATGTACGTGTACTTGTACTACATATACATACACCAAAGCTAAGTAAATCCCGAGGTACAGCTTCGCCGGTGTGGAGTTGGAGGGGGGGAAGAAGCCTGACATAGCCGGGACAGAGCGGCTTGCCGACGACGAGCTCGTCCTGGAATGCGCACGACGGCAGCAAGAGGGAGAGGAATGACAAGACGGTGCACGCTATCAGGCTCATCTTCGTGGCGTGTTCGTGCGATGTACATGTACTTGCCACGACATCGAGCATCTTCGTGGCGTGTTCCCTCCCTAACCTCGAGATAAACGTTGTGCAGATGAAACGCTCGATCAGTGATACGTAAGGCTAGAAGGGCAAAAGGGACATATTAGAAGAGAAATACATATATTAGGAATAAAAATGATGAAATATATTTAATATCATGAAAATCAAGAGTTAGAGGGCTATTTTTACAAAGTCCATGTTCGGAGTACGAAGCGCATCGTCTGGAGTGCCAAGCATGCAATTTTCTCCCGTCCATGGGTTTCGCCGTCGCCTCCAAGGGAGCCCCGCTGGCCGGCCTCCTAAAGAAGTTTCTCCTCGCCGCGCCCGCCGCCTCCGCGCTCGGCCCCAGATCCGTCGCCGGCGCCTGCCGCCTCTTCAACACTGGGGCCCCTCCTCACCGCCGCGACGAGTCCAACGTCGATGACTTCGTCGTCTCCGACAGTCGCCTCGCGCCCGGCTTCTCCTACCCCCCAGGTTTGCTTTAATCTCGTCGAGAAAGCCGCTTGTTTGCTTTAATCTCGTCAAAAGCCGCTCGTTTGCTTTAATCTCCTCGAGAATGCTGATGGTGGTGGTTTCTGCAGCATTTGGTCTTCACCCGTTCGTAGAGCATGGTTGTTTGGGTGTCGAAGGAAGACGACGATGCAATGGAGCTGAAGGTGGCGATGCTGGGGATGGGGAAGGAGCAAGTGAAGCTTTCAGCGTACCAGGACGCTCTGCTGGTTAAGTGGGAGGGCGTCAAGGGATCGGATGGCGACGAGGACCCGGCGTGGTACAGCTGCCGCATCAACCTCTCTGCCGACGCCTTCAAGCTGGACCAGACCAAGGCGGAGATGAAGGATGGGGTCCTCACGGTCACTGTGCCCAAGATTAAGGGCGAGGTCGATCTGAAGTGCACTGATATTAAGATCGAGTAGGGAAAGGTCAGTCAGTGAGTCAGTGAGATGTGCGCCGACGTCGCAGTTCAGTATTGGTAGTTCAGTAGCTGCAGTGTATTAAGGTAGTAGTTACTAGTAGTTGTGTATGGTTGAGATCTAAATGGCGACGTGCATTTTGGAGGGTGTTGTCTGAGGTAGCCCTACTGCTTTCGCTGGTAACAGACTGTAACAGACGCCTGATGATCTTCATGAGTATGGCCCCGTTCGCTTGTCTGAAAAAAAGAAGCTAAAATGCTGTAGAGGCTGGTTGTGTGAGAGAGAAATACTGTAGCGGCTGATTGATGAATAGTGCCGCTGTGAGGAGAAACCAGCCGGCTGGTCTGGAAACCAGCCAGGCGAACGGCACCTATGGCTGCATATGCGCAGTTATTTACTGCCATCTATGATCTATCTGTGTTACCCTGTTCTTGTTGGTTCTTCCATTGCTCAGCGTTTCCAGATTTGTGCATTTGAAATTGTTTCTGCGTTTGTGCATTTAAAATCAAAGGTTGCTGATGATTCATTGTTTCAGATATGCGGTACATAAATCAGAACTTGCTATCTTAGATATGCGGCAGCTGCAACCTCTGTGCCATTGTAGTACTTGTGGGTTCCTGGGTGTGTCATGAACGACTGTGACCCACTCTGCATCATTAACCGTAGAATGATTGTGTGCAATAGACTTGAAATACGTATGCTTTGATCGAGGCCACAATTGCAATCTGTATCTCAATTCAACTCGATTATTGAGAATATTGTTCAGTTGTGTAAATTATTGAGAATATTGTACGCTTTCTATTTGATCCACAAGACCCATCCTCATTTTCTATCATGTATTGTCAGACCATTCTTGCTTTTGACACGTGACACTGCAACATATCCATTTGTAAATACTTGTTTTTTCTTTAGATATAGTTCTACTTTTGATAGTGTTTGTCCTTGGTTGTTATTAGTCATCGAGTAACAAACTTTAACTTGGAGCTGACGGTGATTTAAAGTAAGGGGCTTAAGCGTTTATGCCCACGTTTTATAGTGAAACCGGTGATTTTGCCCTTATTTTTTGACTTTGTGATTTTATCCCTGTGTTTTCAAAACGAAGAGAGAGTTTACCCCTATTATTACGTGAAGTGCTCTTAACGGTGTTAGGTTTCGGATAAAAGAACAAGTTTGCCTATATAATTTTGTCCCTGTTTTATTCTGCCCTTTGTGTTTTTACTCTCATTTCCAGATCAACAGTTTAGTAATTTGATATGGATTACACGATTCAATCAGGGTAAAATCAACCAAATTTTAGAAAAAATTTTGACAGCATTTTAGCTAAAAAGCCCCATTAACTGAGTTTCAATAATCCATTTAGATGCACATGTAAATATGAAACATTATACAAACTGAAACAAACGAAAGTAGAAAACTGAGAGGCAAAGCGTCTTCCGCCAGCATCTTCTTGGCCAACATGCCTCAATGTGACAATGTCTGCTGGGGGCGAGACGGTCTGCTCGGGTGCGAGACCGTCCACCGGTTGGAGTCTGCTCGCCGGGCTGCCTGCTTGAGGTCGCCGGCTCGGCTGCCTGCTCGGATGTATACGGTTCTATGGATATTTATTGATGGGATTTTGATATCCTTGCATGAGGACTGTTTGTTAGATGGACAAACTAAATATGAATATCCAGAACATATTTTCCTTAGATGCTGCACAACGCAGCCATCAAGAAAGCTGTGGACTGCTTTTATTACAAGTAACTATTTATTTTTCTAACAAAATCTTAATGTATTTTACCTAAGCAAATCCCTTATTATTTTTCCTATTTTATTCTAATTCATCCTGAGAGGCGGAATTTCTCCCGGGTGGCCGCGCCCTCCTCTGGCCGTGCGCAGGAGGCGCCGCAGGCCGGACGTCGCCCCGCGCTGGGCCTCGCTTGGCTCGCTAGGCCCTTCGTTTGGGGTCCATATTGGGCAGATGGCCAGGTTGCCGATGCCGAAGTAGATGAAGCAGCCGGAGTGGTGCGTCACGAACGACCCGAAGTCGGTGCCCACGATGCACTGCCATCCGGGCAAGAGACGCATCATCATCAGGAGCTATATATTCTGAATCAGTACACACACTGCTGCAATGTTCAGTGTTGGTTGCAAGAACTTATGGTCGCAAGGGCCACACCTTCTTGATGAATCGTGCGATCTCCGTGGAGTCGGCGCCCTCGAAGTCGTCCAGCGCCTTCCTGGCCTGTCGGAGCGCGTCCTGCTGCATCGCCTGCCGCATGTCCGTGTCCCCGATCACCGCCTGGCTCTCCAGCATCCTCGCCGCCTTGCTGTACCTGCTGAATGCTGAGGCGCACAATGCAGTGATGGTGAAAACAGGCACTTAATTGGTTCCGCCGGCCAGCTGGCTATATAGCCTCTAGCGAATAGGCGCGCCGAGCTGGGATTTCACGGTGGAATTGGATATATCAGAGGATTAGCTAGGTATCGACGGCAGCTTGCCAAGTGGCAATGACGGCCGCGCCTCGACGTTCGTGGCTCGCCTAGCAGCGGGGTGTGAAAGCGTAGGCCGTGTCCAAGCGGCGGCCATAGAACAGAATGTGGAGGCCCCTGCTCCAGTTGGCCGCGATGTCGTCCTGGAACCCTCAAGGCTCAACGACGACATTTTCGTCCGGCTTGCTTTCCCCATTCCCCGCCTCTGGTTCCGGGATGAGCTGGATGATCCGTCAATTTGTCATGGCTGGTACACGCTTAATGCCCAGCACTAGTCGTGCTCAAGTGTTCAGCAAAAGTACTAGTAGAATCTGGAGCTTGGAGGTATCTTGCATAGTTGCATGGCTGAAATTCTTCTTTGAACGAATGGGGACTGAAACTCTGAATCAGCTAACTTGAGATAGTTTTTTTTTTGAAGCAATCTTATTCTCTTTCTTTTTTGAAACGAAAAAGAGAGTACTTGTGAGTTCGACACATATGAAGAAATGTCCCACTAGAACGACGCTCGTAAACTAAAAGCTTGTGGCCCATTGGAACCATAGGAGGAGGCACCCACAGGGTGTAATGTTCCTAACAGAACCAATTGTGGACCAAATTTGGGAGACTCCGCAATGAAATTGGTCCGAAGTAAGCAGCGGGAAGTTAATCTCCTTCCAAATTCTTGACTTGGCAGCGTATCAACTACAATTGTAGTGTAGGTGATGTTTTAGCAGTGGATTGTACATGAAAAGGTATCATCCATCTACTTACAGGTGCTGTTTGCGTCAAACACAGACATTCTTATGGTAGAGGCTGGAACTTGTTTCCATTATCTAAAAAAACACAGACATTCTTCAGAAAGTTTCTGCATCTGTCCTTGTTTATCTGCTTCATTTGTGATATTCTCTTCATCTATCTGCACTTTAGTTTTGTCATATGTGCGTCTGTCTTTGTTTTAGTGCGGCAAAGCAGTTGCATCACGACACCTGAATGGAGCTTTTTTAAGACATTTTAAATGTAATCCTTCTTATTAGATGCTTTTCATCAGTCCCTATAATTGTTCTAGCATTCAGATTTATCTTTGTCGACTGATTATTATTATTATTATTATTATTATTATTATTATTATTATTATTATTATTATTAAATCAGCCTTGTGGCCGAGAGAATGCAGAGCATGTGGAGTGGTTCGGAGTACTCCTACCAGTTCATTGTTTTTCTTATAAACAAGAGTTAAATGCACCGGAGGCCCATAAACTTATATGGTTGTTTCAATTAGGTCCATCAACTCTGAAAATAGATTTCTAGGTCCATAAACTTTTAAAATTATACACTATAGGTCCATACCCCTCCACACATGCATCTTATGCTGATGTGGCATGCCATGTGTGCGTCTTCTCTCTCATGTCTGTCTCTTTCTCTCTCTCTCCCTCAACTCTCTTTCACATTTCATCGCACAGGTGAGCAACATTGAGCTTGCGGTACGCCTCTCTTTCCTCAGTCTCCATACCCGTTTCCACTAGACACGTGCTTCAGCTGCTCATTGTGGGTGCAGCCTGGCGAGCGAGCGGAGTAGTCAGTAGTGGTGGCATCGTGATGTCGTTCGGCCAGATGGCGTTGATGCACACACTCTCGAGCACGCCAGCAGCTACCTCCTCGGTCATCAGCCACCGCCCGTACTACGCGTGCACGCCGAGGACCGTGGCTTTGGATATACCTATACAGGATGTGCTCATGTAAAGAATGGAGTTGGCATCTGGGTACCATGCCATGCACCGATGCACATGCACGGCGTGCTTGAGGGAGGTCACCACACGCGTGGAACCGTGCGCTAACCGCCATGACGCGGTCGAAGTCCGTTAGGTCCGGCGATGCGAGCAGCACGGGGACTGAGGCGCACCAACATGGCCATGTTGTTGTACAGCACGTCAGGCACCTGTGGGCTGTGGGGCGCCATGGTGTGCAGCCACTCAGGGTGGCTGCCGACTGCCGACTGCCGAACAGGAACATGGCTCATGAGAGGTGGTGAGGTCGGCATGTCATGCACGACGATGAAGAGAACGCCGTGCACTGGTGTCGTGTGTTATAACTCATATACTACTCCGTAGCAGATTTGGACTAATGAAATTAATTACATGTTTCACAAAATATCTTTACGTTTTCATTGGCCATGGTCGGTATGTACTGCAGGGACGCGTGCATTGTTGATGGAGGAGAAGCCAGAGAACGGGAGCTCTGGCTGAGCCAGAAACACCTCCTTGCTCAGTCGGTAGCTATTGTTGAACGCTGAGATCACCTCCGCGCGACGCACTCCAACATTGTTCGCTCCATCGTCTCGAGCTTGTTCATGGCGTAGTTCACCACCTCGCAGGGGGTGTAGGCCGCGTCCAGGTCGAGCTTGGCGGCTATGGCGCGGCCGACGTTGTCCTGCATGCCGATTGCCGGCAAGGATGACCTTGGCACATTTTCAGAGGAACTCGCACTCGCTTGGGCGTTGCGCGTTAACGCCATCGCGACACTGCTGCTACTGCATTCACTCATGAGCCTGCACCCAGGTGTCGGCGACAAGCAGACAAGCAGTTGAAGTGGCTGGTGGAAACATGAATGAGGATCGAGGCATGCGCGAGCTCAACGTTGCCCAGGACCTGCTCGATGAAATGTGTCCGAGAGACTGAGTGGAAGAGGGAAAAGAAGAGGGACATGAGAGGGAAGACGCACATATGGCACGACACGTCAGCGTATGATGCATATGTGGCAGGGTACGAACCTATGGTGAACAACTTTAAAAGTTTATGGACCTAGAAATTCACTTTTAAAGTTGATAGACCTAATTAAAACACCCATACAAGTTTATGTACCTCTGGTGCATTTAACTCTATAAAAATATACCACTTATTTATTCCGAGGCACTTGATTTGATTGAACTCATCAATCTCTATGGAGAGCGTACTGAAGGAATTGGCAAAATGACCAGCAACTTGTAATGTTCCAAGAGTGGTTCGGCCTAGATTTGCTTAAATCCAGATAGTGGATTGTTCTATTTCTACAGTCCTGATTCAGTATACTACGGCAAGAAAGTGCTAGCATTCCCTGTCAACTACTAGTAAAGAAAAGTTTGTGATAGAAGAAACATGTGACGTGGTTGGTTGCATCATGAAGTCCATGACAATTTAAGACAACTAATCTCGGATGGATGACACTTCGATGGTTGGTGGCATTTTGCTTTCATTTGGCTAAATGTAGGTACCAAACGCTCTCCACTAGTTTTCCAGTAATGCTTTGCTAAACTTCAACAGTACAGTACAGTACTGTCCCAAGCAACTCTGCTCTATCCATTTGTCTTTCTCCTCAAAGCTCGAAAAGCAACTACTCCATCACATGATCTTTGGATGGAAAAGCAAAGGAAGCTCCAGAGATTGGGGTATATTTTGGTTCTACTTTGGATTACATGCCATACCATCCATGATCCATCTAAATTACGTACATTTCAGATGACACTGCTTGTACGTTCTAATCATGTCTGTTTCAGCATTAACTGCATTCTCTGCATCCAGAAACATTTCTTGCAGGGACATGACAAAATCCTTGAGCCACTCAAAGCACCTAGAGAATCAGCATGCCCTAGGTTTGACAAATAGCGGCCAAATCTGCTGCGATGATTCGAGTCAATGCATAAACATTGCAGCAAAAGATAGTTGTTGGCTTACAAACTTTTTTCTTCTCAAGAAAGTGGAGCTGGCTTTTCCTTTCCTGTGCATGGGGAAACAGAAGCTTTTAATTTGCTATTGTATCATCCTATGGGCTATAGCACATGTACTTTGTCACCCACAACCACTTTCCATGGGACCAAAACTTTGGGGGCACTTTGCGAGCCACGACCCATGATGATCTTGAAGAGCAATCATGGGTCCAGGTCAGAGATCTGGCCCTTTTCCATATATATATATATATATATATATATATATATATATATATATATATATATATATATATATAGGAAATGGGTCCAACATTTCTGAAGAATTAACTACTGGAGATGGGTGGCATATAATCAGCCACAATATATGTGATACTCCTGTATGGAGGAGATGGTCTCATGTCCTGCTGAGTGCTGAGGCCAAACATAAACGATTCAGCCATGCATCCGTGACCGTGACCACTGCAACTGCATTTTGCGAGAACATTCATTGATTTCAGCAGTGATATATTGGTAATGAGCGGCAGCAATCCATCTACAGTTCCGGCCGGCCACATGTGCTGAGCCCCAGCTCCCATGCAGGCATGGGCACACACACAATCGCATCCGGCGACAAGAGAAGAACCCGACGGATGTACCCGTGTTAGCTAATAAGTTAAGCATGCATGGCAAAATCATGCTAAATTGTTCTCATCCGTGTTGCCTGATGGAATGCTTATACGAATCACATGTTTCCATTCTGTACTCTCTCTTTACTACGGGCATCACAGATCATACAGTAACAAACTGCTTGTAGCTGAGCTGCCGGTGCCGGTTTGCCTCTCACTTTCATCACATGACCAGCGACGACCAAGTATTCTGCGGATCTCCAGAAAGAGAAAGCGGGTGCCCTTTTCTTGCCATGAGAGCAACAAGACTCCTGTGAGATCCTTGCCATGTATATCTTTTTATATATGCATCTTTTCCCGTGCTCCTTTCGCCCTTTGTTCCTTCACATCCACACCAGTCCGCAAAAGCGAGCCTCTCCCGTGAGGCACAGCACAGCCATTGCCCCCATGGGATCGAGGGGCACTGGTGCAGGTGCAGCCAAATCAAGGAAGGGCTCACATGGAGGAAGAAGCGCCCGTGGATAGTGGGCGGATAAGGCTGGGTAGCTGAAATGGACTCTTTCCTAGGCGACGAAAAGATTGGTGGTTCGTTCTAGTAGAGTAAAAATTTACATGGCACAGTGCATGCATATGGCAAACAAGAATGCACTCGTGCATGCGCAGTCCAGTCATGCCGTCGAGTGGATGCTTCAGTGTCAGTGCTTCGTGATTCTCGGCTGCAGACTGCGCTGCTAGATGCCTGGATGGATTGCTTTGGCATATTTTTTGATCGCATTGCCATGAATCCCATGATGCCATGAGTCCATGCACAGTAAGCACTCAGACGTTAAAAACTCGATCCGCGGTGGCTAGATAGCCCCGAGTATTCCTGCTTAAGAAGAAAATCTTCTCACGTAGATTGAGAAAACTCCGGAACCCCTACTCCACCCTTACATAGCGGCACCGTAACTCCGTGAGATAAGCTGGCCATAAACCTGTGCTTTGGATTTGAGGCACACGAGGGAGTTTTTTCCCTCTTCGGTCACTGTGGCCGAAGCCACGAGAGTGAGTCCCTCGAGACTCGAACTATGACCACCGTGAAAGGGAGGTACTGAGGCTGCACCGATCACTCGGTCAACCGGCCATTCCCATAAGCACACGATATTGATTGTTGAATTGTGAGTCCGGACTCTTGCGAGGCTCCTCCTTCTTTGCACTGTCATTCTCATCATGTTGATCTTTAATTTATTTTGTTATATAGTTGTTCTAACAAGCTCACAGCTGCGGCGGCTGTGCTGGTGGTCGTGGCCATGGCGGCGCCCGGCGCTACTGGGCCTAGCAAGGGCTCAAGTAGGTGTTATTCCCACCTTCATTCTACCGTGCAACACTCCAAAATAGACGTGAGCTTCTGCCTTGGTTTCGTCGTCATTGTTTTGAGTGGTAGAGTCCTACGACTGAGGTTCTGGGGAAGTCTAGACGAAAGTCATGCACGGCTTTCCATGCATGGCTTTGTCAGTGCTGTCGGTGACGATGCCTTTAGCGCCGCTAATCTTGGCTGATAAACCATGGCTGAAAGTACTGTTGGCTAATTTGTTGTGAGAGAAAAATAATGTTCGTTGGCTGAAAAAGTACGGCTTATAAGCCAAGCGAACAGGGCGAATAATGTTCTTGGAGGTGTTGTAGTAGCCTTATCTGACCCTGCAATTCTTGGGTACCTCCAGGTGAAAAACCTAGTTTCGATTCACGTTGAGGTTTGTCTTAGATTTGGCCAAGCACTTTCTCCAGGGTTCACTGCTAGCTTTCTCTATATGGGTGCACTAGTTGCTTGCTAAATGGTGTGTGCAATTGGTTTCATCAATCTAACGTCCTCTAGGATCATTGATTGCATCATCTCAACTTAGGTTGGGTTAGTGAGAGCATTGGTCCCTCTCTTATATCTCCTCGTTCTTCATTTGTTGATCCTCCCTCTCTTAAGACTCCCCCCTAAAGGGGCATTATCGAACAATGATGAGATCCTGGATGTGCATCATATAGATGATGTCACGATTGTCATCTGTCAACCTCGACTTTGTGCCTTACAGTCACATGTAAATTGGAGTTCTTTGAAGAGCTATCACTTGGTGGTGCAATGTTTGGCGATCAACGACATGTTTTCATCATGAGAGCTTATGTTGAAACCTGTACTTTTGTTGTTCCACCTCATATACCTTGTTTATGGTTGTTTTTTCCATGTGTCGTGTTGCTATTTGTTAGTGTTTGTGTTCATGTTTTTGTCTCACCCCTGCTATGTGCCTCTGAGATTTGCCATGATAATGTAACATTATGTTCCCGACCTTTGCCGGTATGTGTGGGCATATATTCAGGTGATGGCTATCGTCCCTCTCGATACTTGTAAAAAAAGGCTCATCCCCTTCAGAGCTTCTCTCATAGAGCCGTTTCTTGAGTGTTAGTGTTTGACATGGCTTCATCCAATGAAGGAGAGAAGTCAAAGCTAAAGCCCAGGTTTGATAGGTTTCACCCAACGAGAGAGTCAAAGCTGAAGCCCGTCAAGGAACCTTGCCAAGCATATAAAGATTATTCTAGAAATTGGAGGCTCATTGGAGCATCTCTAAGAGTCTTTTTAAATCCCACTCTCTAAACCATCATTTGGAGAGCCATTTGCATAAAAATTGTTTTCTATATCTTTTCACTCTCCAACAGTTTTTTCTATATCTCATGCGTACTCTAGAGAGTCATTCTCGTCTTCTATTTTTAGCTAGCGAAAAATCCAGAATAGAAGATGGCTATATTTGGATGACCATTTAGAAAAGCTGTTGGAGGATAATTTTTCAACAAAATCTCCATTTGTAGCATTTAGGAAGGATACGGAGAGTCTCTTGGAGATGCTCTTAGTCATAATGAAGACTCGCTTGAAAAATATAAATTCTAAAAATTTTCAAAAAATAGAAAGATATGATCATTAAGTTAATAAGTATAGTTATCATCGATAGCAATAGCTATTAGAGCACCTCCAACCGTTTGCCATTCCCAATCTTGTTTTTCATTATGGAAAAAACTCACTCCAACAATTCTTTGTCATAACTCTCAATCTAACCATGCTTGGAAAATCAGAGGCATCCACGCATAAGATACGTGGACTCCTAAATGTATCATCGTCACGACTGCCGCCGCCACCGCCTGAAGGTTCACTGGAATTGCATATCCAACTAGTATTTTCAGATATAAGA